CAGGAGCGGACGGCGGTGTTAGCAGCTTTGGCAGAAAAGGCCAAGCTGACGGAGGAGATCTTCAACACGGTACCAGGCATCACCTGCAACCCGGTCCAGGGAGCCATGTACACTTTCCCCCGCATCACTCTGCCTCAGAAGGCCATCGACAAAGCCAAGGTCTGCTCTACACACACCCTGCATCCTCTGATCTCCTAATTTGTGTAGGCAAATGTATACAAATGTGTGTGTGTGTGTGTGCAGGAGCAAGGTCAAGTCCCTGACATGTACTACTGCATGAGGCTGCTGGAGGAGGAGGGAATCTGCCTGGTACCAGGGAGTGGCTTCGGCCAGAGAGAGGGAACCTTCCACTTCAGGTTAGTGCGGCGAAGCTTGTGGTCTTACTGCCTCCTACTGTTCACTTTTGAAGTTCAAAAAGTTTTAGCTACTTCAATCTGATGAGGATTTTTAAACTGTGTTGAGGTAACAAGTGACTGTGTTGCACAAATCCTGATAGTATCTAATGTGGGGTTTTGTTTTTTTTAATTTTTGAGGTTATGAACAGAATAAACCTTCAAAACACGAGTGTTAAGCGTCAGTATCGTTCCATTAACCTCAAACTCATCCTCCTCCTTCCAGGATGACAATCTTGCCTCCAACAGAGAAGCTGAAGGTGGTGCTGCAGAAGATCCGAGACTTCCACTTGCGGTTCACGCAGGAGTTTTCCTAATGGTCCTCCGCCTTTCAACCCCATCTCAAGAACCAACCCCTTCAGTGCCAGTATCTTTAAGTGCCTTCATGTGAAAGAGCTTTTGCGCAAGATCCATCTCTCAGCTCAAGGACTGTCTTCACATGTAATCAGACTTTTAAAGCTCTGTTCACTGTTTTGAGCAACACATGCAATCAGATGTCCTGTTCATATGTTCCTACAGCATGTCAAGATGCAGTGAGTTTCAGTCTATGATGCACTTTCTTTAAGTATTACCCAGCCAGGTCTGTCAGATGTTATGGCGCTGATTGTATGTCATGAGTTGAAGACCTTTTATCCCGTGTCATGTCACAGATGCTGCTACAGGTGCATCCGTCTTTTGCCAAGTGGTTCTATACGTGTCAGTTTAATAACATGTTTGGTGATTACTTGATTAATTTAATCGGCTGTGGATGATGCACCAGATTGGGAAATCACTGTTTTTCAAAGCCTGTATCAGAATGTAGCCATTTGTATTACTAATGTTTAAATTGTTCTTAAATACGATTAAAAAAACCTGTTGTTTTATGAACTGTCTGCAGTGACGGCTCTTATATTTGCAAATCATCTTCCAGCATGACTTGTATCGATTTATCAAGACAAAGAGTCACGTTTGAGTGCTGGGCCACAAGGCTGCCATCATTTTTAGTTTTATTTAAAAAGACTTACATCTTAAACAGTGCTTACATGCTTTTACAAACAGAAGAAAGCGGAATCTCTTGGAATGAACAGAAACTACAATGATGATCGAACCTTGAAATCATCACAGCAACTCAGTAACACCGTTTATAATCCACTGCGTTCCCTTCACTTTCCCAGAGGCCTCCTCAGCGTCCTCTGGGACTCTGCCTGGACAGCACGGTAAGAGTTCTTAGCTACTTTTTTTTTTTTTAGGGAGAGAAAGTTTCAAAGTTCATCTCTCTTCTGTGATAGCTTTGTGGCGTGCTGTTCCAAGAACTTGCTAAACCCTTCTACTGTTCTGTCTCCACCTTCAAATTTGATGGGGCTCTGCTTGCTGTTGCTTGGGGCAAAGTATATTGTGGGGAAGCCTTCCACTTTGTAGCTCTCGTTTGGAACGTCGTTGGCTGTGGCGTCCATCTTGGCGATCACCAGGTTTTTCTCACCCTTGTACTTCTTGCCCAGAGCCACATAATCGGGCTCCAGCTTCTTACAGTGGCCACACCAGGGAGCGTAAAACTCGATCAGGACATCCTTCTGGGTGTCCATGACAATATCGTCGAAGGTTTTTCCTACCACAACCTTCACTGGTCCTTTGTTGTTCTTTGGAACTGGCTGAGACTTGATGATGGGTTTCAGCTTTCCTGTAAATGACATAAAAAGAAATTAAGTAAGAAAAGTGCAAGTCACTGCAAACTACCTAATTATTGACTTGTTTACAAGAAAACTCAAAGGTCACATCATGCCATAAGACACTACTCACCTTTCTTAAAGGCTTTAACAAAGTCACTCAGCACATCAGAGTCAAACTCCTCGGGCTCCATGGCAAACTTCTTGCCTCCATCTGCCATGATTCCCACGTTCACTTCCTCTCCACTCTCGCTCAGACCCAGGCTCTTCAGCTCCTCCGCGTAATCCTCCTCATCAGCGATGGCAAATGTGTACTCAGGGAAGTCTTTGGCCACCTCGAGCACCTTGGACCTCCAGAACTGCGTAGCTAAAAAGACGACAAGACATGTTATAGCACAACAAATCCTCCACAGGTGATAACTGCACGATGTAATGGCTGCTGTAAATAGATGAGATGTTTAGAAGAGATTTTGAAAAAATAAAATAAAAAGTTTTCCACTAAAAGCTTGGCCACAGGAATAAAATTAGGACAAAATTCCAAATAATGAATTAGCAAAAGCTGATTTTTAAAATAAAAATAAAAGCAACATTCAGGTCACGAGGTGTTTAACAAGGTCCCAGGTCTGACGTAATAACTCACTTTTCCTGTAGTCAAAGCTGAAGTCAACTCCATAATACACAACCACCAGGGGTCTCTTGGCGTAACGTTTCCCATCATTGCTTGGTTTTCTGTGTCCCACCAGAGGAATCATATGTTTTTTGAAGAACTCCTGCACTTCTGACACCGTCGTCGAGTCCTGCATGACAAATTAATGAACATATCTTGAGTTCAAATGTGAATTTCTCCACCTGTGTCAGAATCTGCTGATTTTAGGGGGTTAGCAAATATAGCATTTAAAACTGAAAATGGCTGTTGCTCAGTGAAGCATGCATATTGCAAATTTATTTGTACACCAAAACTCAAACTGAAAGAAAGCACAGTCGTTTGGGATTCTGCACAGTTTCATATCTAGTAAAACCAAATTTAAACCCAAACTATTAAAAACATTTAAAGTAACAAATACCAAAACAGATGAGCAATGTTGAAAATGGAAATAAAAGACGGCACCTTGACTTCGAGCGTGTGTGACGATGGCTCATACTTGGAGCGGAACTTCTCGGGTTGAACAATGACAATCTGACCAGGAGAAGCTTTGAGCAGCTTGGACACTTCAGCGCTGAAGGCGTGACGGAAGGTGAAGTCTTCCCTCAGTGCATTACCTGCCAGACAAATATCAGTGAGAACAATACCCACATGTCCATTTGAAGAGTGAGAAAGAGTCTATGTTCCTTAAAATTAACTAAATGCTACGTTTTGGAAAATGGTCTCAGAATTATACTGGTGATGACACAACATATCTCTGATCTTGAATTGCAAAACATGCAGTCACCAGAAAAGAGAAGGAAAAAAAAAAAAAAAAGGGAAACAGGAAAAAAAAAAGTGACTTATCATAGTGGAACCACTTACAGGCTTCAATGTAGATCTCATAAGCTGCATCCTGTTCGCCAGAGAACACACCGACAATGACAGCATCATCACCGTCCTTGATGAGCTCCTGAATCTGTTTTCCTGCCTGAACCTGTTTGGATGGAGGCCCTGCCTGCTCGCCCATGTAGTCAACAATGCCTGTGGGAAAAGAGAAAAAGATGGATCAGCTGTGATGCATGATTAACGAAGCTGGAATATGCACACAGGTCTGCATGCATGCAAAGCTCAACATGCACAGAAAACAGCAAGGACAGACACGACGCGGTCAGTGACCTACCGAACTTCTCCCTGGGTCCGTTGTAGTCAAACACCTTGCCCTTCCTGAAGATCTTGAGGGTGGGATAGCCAGTGACTCCAAAACGCGTGGCAATCTCACCCTCCTCTGTGGCGTCCACCTTGGCCAGAGGGATGGGAGGAGTGCGCTGGCTCAACTCCTTGGCTGCCTTCTCGTACTCCGGAGCCAAACGCTTACAGTGTCCGCACCTGGAGGTCAGTTAAAGATGGATAATGATGAAAGTTTTATTGGGTGATTTCCACACTGCTTTTGACAACTAATCTGTATTTCATGAACTCACCAAGGAGCGTAGAACTCCACCAGGATGATGTCTGCATTATTTACAGTGTCATCAAAGTTGTCCTTTGTCAGCACCAGCGTCGCCTCAGGAGGAGGTTTCCAATCCGGCTGAGCCACCTCTTTCACCCGCTCCACGATGGCTGCAACACACAGACATTCACTACATTAATACTTATTTATTTTTTAAAGTGTAGCTGTGTTGAAATGTTGTGAAGATGTTTAAACTGAACAAACTGTTCCCACCCTTCTCGGTTCTATCTCCGTCATACTCCACAGGCTGCCCATTTTTTAGGATCTTGATGGTGGGGTACCCCGACACTTCGAACCTGCCGGCCACCACACTGGCTACTGTTGCATCCACTTTGGCCACAGGTATAGGAGGGTCATTCCCCTTCAGAGTCTCAGCGATTTTTTCATACTCTGGGGCAAACTGTTTGCAATGGCCACACCTAAAATAATATACAAAGGACACAGCTGTATTAAAACGTTTACCAGGATGTGAAAAGACAGAGTCATGCTGAAAAATTTACATAGGAAATGGCTTAGATATTAAAGTTTCAACAGAAATATTTTTTTCTGCTCCTGTGCTACTTTCAATTTTGAAATGAGTAGAGTAGTTGTTGTACATGTTACAATGACAATAAAGATATATTCTAGATGCATTAATTAATCTTGTTTTTTTTAGTTACTATATTAACAAGAAATATCTTGATAATCAAGGTGTAATTTTCTAATTCTAGCATCGTAAACTTTACTATATTCTGGTTTCTTTTCTTCTCTATGACAGTAAACTGAATATTTTTGGGTGGCAGATAACACAAGACATTTGCAGACTTCACGCTGAGCTTTGGGAAACACCAATTGCCTTTTTTGACCAATTTAAATACCAAACAATCTATTACTCAAGAATAAATAAACAGATTATGCAACAGTGAAAACAACTGTCAGTTCCTGCCCTAGACTTGAAGTAACAGGTCATTCTGATGGCAGGCTTATGAAAATTACAACATAGTAAAAACTTACCATGGGGCATAGAACTCAATGAGAACTGTGTCTTTGCCCTCCATGAAGGTGTCAAAGTTCTTGTCGTTAAGAACCAGCACCCCGTTCTCTTCTTTCACTTCTGTGTCGTCATCATCATCTTCCTCCTCCTCGTCATCACTGTCCTCATCATCACCTTCCTCCTTGTCTTCTGCAACATCTGACAGCAAACAAGAGAAAAAAAAATGCCACATTAATTTTGTGCTAAAGCCAGGGCAATGTGTTAGTGCCACCAGAATGCTGCTTGTTTGACTCCTCAGACTTTTCGAGGCAGGTATGGACCTGGCGTGCAGCAAGAAATGGGAGTGTATTCAGCTGGAGGCAGCACAGAGAGGGACAGGAAGAGGTCATCAGGAGAGCCAGCTCTGTTCTGGACCATCCACTGGACTCCATAGAGGGGGTTGGGTGAGAGGAGGATGTTAGCCAAGCTGACATCCATCGTGGACAACACCTCTCACCCCCTGCATGGCACTGTGGGGTCTCTGAGCAGCTCCTTCAGCAGCACACTGATACACCCACAGTGTAAGGAGGAGCGCTTCATCCCAACTGCTGTCAGAATCTACAACATGCTGTAGGTCTCCTTCAATATTGCATCCTTACATACATACTATAGAATATTAGATCCATTTTTCTCTATCACATTTTTACCCATTTCTCATGTGCAATATGTTATATGTGCAATGCTCTTCCTAGTTATGCTTTTTTTTGTTTGAACATATTTTTTTTCCTTAGGTTAACGTGTTGGTATGTTTGTGCTCTTTTCATACATCTGTACTGCTGCAACAAGTGACTTTCCCCATCTGTGGTGATGAATAAAGTACAATCTAATCATCTCATGTAATCTGTACTGTCACTATGCTGCATACCGGCGATGTACAACAGAAACAGGACTGCCTGAAATAATATTATCACTGTGCGTAAAGTAATTGTTAACACCCAGGAGCAACTCAACTGCTAGTGTGTGTGTGGATTGCTGGCTAGCTTGCTAACAAAGTATGTACAGTGTCTTAGCTAGCTAGTTTGCATAACAATAACTTACAGGAAACACACACCAGCTACGCCACAGCTTCACTTCGACCACCAGCTCGGTTGTAGTAAAGCTGTTAAAAAAAAATAACTCACTCACCATCTTCACACCTGCTGACAGTCGCAAAATGTGCAACGCCGAGCAGCACAATTAGCAGCAGAGCAACCTTCCTCATTGTCCACAGATGATGCGGCCCCCGCGTCAACGACGTGCTGCTCCGAAGTAGCCGGCTAATTAACTCTGGCTAATAACGCTGATGAATGTCATCAAAGCACGGCGTCGGCTGCACAGACCCGCTGTCCCGGATCAATACTGCTGTGTGGAGGTGCAAAGCCTCGGCTTGGTGGTTTCATATAAACTAACACTTCAGAAATCACGCACGCCGCCTCCTCCGTCTGGAACTTGTCTGACTTGCCACGTTCTGATTGGCTCCCATCATCCGCCGTCGTCCAATCACAAGCCGCCACTTAATTCCTGAGGCTGGAACGTTGAGCGACGCTATTGGACGCTGGAGGTTGTTTCCTGGTCGCACTCAGAGCTATGATAGTGTGTGGGACAGAGGTATAAAGAAACTGTACTGAGCATGCAAACTTTTTTCACTAATAGTTTACGTATTAATGTCAGTGCACACATCTGCAGCTCATATAACTCTGCTCACTATGAATATTCATCATAATTCAGTCTTTGTGCCCTCATGATCACAGTATCTAATCACGCCTATTAAAAACCAATACCTTGAGGGCATATTTTTAGATTCCTTTGAAGAGGTGCAGCTTCCTATGTTCACCACAACACCTCAGAAGATATTACATGTTTAAAAAAGGCTACACAGTAGGCTGCAGTATTAACTTAGTGACTAAAAAAATGCTGTGCAAAATAAATACAAAAGATCCCACTTTGAAGAATGAATGCAGCTACGATTAAAATGCATTTTTGATTGCTTGGAATAAAAATAATAACTGCACATTTTATTTCCTGTATTAACTGAAAAAACACATTAAAAAAAATAATTAAATAGCTACTCTGGTTAATTTAAGAAACAAAACCAGAAACAGCTTCTTCTTCTTTTCTTTCTCTTTTTTTTTTTTTTTTTTTTACCATGTTAACATGTCCATACAGTGTTTTTTTTATGTGCTTGATGACATATCATGTTCAAAATAAGCAGTCAGCACCACTGCTGAGCATTTCCTTTCTGAAAATGCAGGCTCCTGATAACAGTCTCAAAAACACTGTCTGAATTACTCTAATTTTATAACTTGCCATTGTGTAGCGTAATGTAGTTTGACAGTGTTTGAGCAGAGTTGTAGGTGAGCTGGTGTGCTTGACCTGCATCCAGTGGTAGAGGAGTGGGTGGAGAGAGAGAGCTGGGGACTTGATTGATCTGCATATTTTAGAGGAAGCAATTAGTGTAGAGTTGCATCCAAGCCGTTTTATTTGTTTTTCTGGGCTTAATGAAAGACCAAAAGGGAATCTTAATGACTTTTACACACAACCTGTCAAACAAAAAAGAAAATAAGACACTGGTTCCAAAGAATACTCTGCTGGTCTATACATTTTTACAGAGCAGAACATCTCCTGGCCAGAATTCTTATCCCTGTAAGGACTCTAGTGTGTATCTGGCTCTATTCTCCCAGGCTCTTCATGGACCAGAACCTCCACCACCACCTCTGTATGGGTGGCCTGAGTTTTACTTAACCAGTCGTTTGTTTTACTCCACTTGTCAGCTTGCTTCTCTAGAACATCTCCTGTCAAAAGTCTTTCAAGTGATGCTGGCTCTGGGCGACCCAGGCAGCATTCACCCTTTAATTTATCATCAGATGCCACAACAATGTCCAACGAGGGATTGTGTCCCATTTGGCCTCTCTGCTGTCGGACCTGTAGGATGTTCAGGTCAACCTGGGACCTGGTAGAGAAGGAATTCACATTTATTAATGTATTATATCTTAATATATGCTTATAAATATGCATGTGTTACTAATTTAATTCTTTTACCTGAACAGGTTAGATGAAGGTTGATTTTCTCCCAGATTTGATGCAGAGTGGTCACCAATCTCAGTGGCATCATTCACCATCATCTGTGACCTCACAGAGTCCTAACAAAACCATCCAGCATTGGTTTTACATTGGTTTTATAATATTTATATATACATTGGTTTGTACTGCAAGTGTGTTTGATTTGAAGCTGGATCACCTGTGTGTCCATGTCAGAGGGCTCAGATATGGGTGAGATGACAGGACTGTCCTCCTCTCCGAAGCGATGGGCTTTGGGGGGCAGAGTGTGGTGCAGGCTGCTGGAGAGAGCGTTGAGTCTGAACAACAGCTCATCCACTAAGCTTTCAAACTCCTCAAGGTAATATGTCTGAAAAGGGGAAACTAGTGTAAGTTGTGCAGTTGGAACATTTTTGGAGGCACAAAAAGAGTTAGTAACCATGACAGCAGTCTTGGTTGTTTACAGCAAGACAGTCTCACAATGATATACTCAGTATATATAGTTTAAAAAAATGATAAACACTGACATTCTGCTGTTTAAAGGACAAAGCAGCTTTTTTCTTACCCTCTCGTCCTCATGGTTACTAGTCGATGCTTGTCTATGCTTCCCAGTGAGCTCAGAGACCCTCTGTCTGATGTAGCTGGCCAGTTCTGCTATGGTGAAGACTTTCCTCCTGTTTGGACGTCTTTTGGCAGGTTTGACCAATGAGGACACCACACTGATCATCTATAAGACAGCCACAGTTCTGTTAGAGCACAACAATGACTGACTGAAAGGACCAGACTATAGGATACAGTGGCATCTAGCAGGAAATCCAGATGTATAGGAGAACCTATGATGGTTACCACTTCAACCAAAAAACTCTCTTTGAAAGACCTTTGTTAGAACCACTGTTTAGTTTGTCCATTCTGGGCTACTGTAGAAACATTGCAGCACAGTCAAGCTCTGTAAAAGATAATCTGCTTCCTCTGTAGAGTTGAATGGCTCATTCTGAGTAAATTAAAACACAGTGATTCGTGGTTACAAGTGATTATACACGAACAAAAACACAATTAGGAACACTATATTCTATTTCTGCTAACAGACCCCTAAATGGTACTCACTGTTCCTTTAATATATGCATAAATCAGCCAGTTTCTTATCCATTCTTATTGTCAAAGAAAAAAAATGACAGTTGTAAAATATATATGTACCATTGCTGTCCACACCACTGTAGAGGTCAGACACAGGACTCCATAGTAAAACAAATCATGCCCAGAGAGGAGGAATCCCCTGCCGGCTCCGAGGCCTCGATGCTGACGGAGCAGAGTCCAAAATGATCGGGGAACAGAGCTGAAGGCCCAGGAGTTTTGTATGTAGAGCAGATTGCCCACACAGGACAGCGCTGCCAGTAGTATCAGACCTGAAATCTAACAGAGGAGAAAGTGCAGATTTCTAGTGTCTGTCTGAGCATTTTTTGTTTCTAAACCAAATCTCTACTTTAGAGTCATAACTCTGATATTCTGGTAGGAAATAACTGCACAAACGGGTGTTAGAAAGACAGAAAATCAAGAAAAATAATATCATGGGAGGATAGCATCTCCAAAGTGCACACAAAAGACCTCTATAGTTCCTGCACTTTTATAAGTCCTCAGGTCTTAACAATGCTATTCAAAATCAAGCAGCGACAGTATTGTGCTGCTTGGAGCGAGGACCTTTCCTAACTAGTGCTATTGCTGTGTAACGTGTTTACCGCTGGCCATAAGAGGCTGGAGAGTGAGTGGGCAAACAGTGTAGCAGAGACAGCCAAGGTCCTGTTCACCCTCAGCACAGTCACACACTTCACAGTCAGGAGGAAAACCACAATGCCCCGCAGAGTACGAACAGACTGTAGAGACAACACACATTTTTATCCCTATTAGTAATCAAAAACAGCATCACTGATAAACAGCCTTTAAAATGCACAGAACTGCAATGTAATCTTAAATATATAGTTTTATTAATACCATGTCAGTAATCTGCTCCTAATCCTAGAGGTAAAGATCTGTTTTTTTATTTGCCAGGGGAAGGTGTTGTAATAAACTAAGCAGAACAAGCATTTTCTCCACATTAACAACGTGTTTTCGCTCCCTCCGCATTCATTTGTTTGTCCCTCACTTGTTCCCAGGTAGCCAGCAGGCTGACATCAACATGTCCTCTGTAGCTGCGTCTCTGCAGCGACTCCACGACTTCCATGATAATAACAGAGCGATAGATGTGATACACATAATACACTATTGTCACTGTCAGCAGACTGACCTGCAAAAGAGAGAGCAGGTGAGGTAGAATTCTGCACCAGTGAAGCATAATCAGGTACATTTCAAACACAGCTTTGACCTTCACATATTTTTCCTGTGTGCTTTTCTCGACAGACATGTTAGTTTAACAGCTACAGGTTGTTTTACCCTTTCAGCGAGGTCATTGTGATCCTGTTTGCATTGGTGTGCCGAGTGTGTGTGCGGCTGTGGACGCGTGCATGTAGCTACTGTATGTTCAAGCTGTGTCTTTTCATTTTGGTTGGAATTCTAATGTTGGAATGATTGTTTTTGCTTCTAGTTGACTTACTTCCACCAAGTTGCAAGGTTTCCTCAAGTATTCCAGCAGCCCTTGCTGTGCTAAACTGGACGTTTGAAGATAGAGTTGTAGTAGAGACAAGAGGAGGAAGAGGAGCTGGTAGCGAGGAAGGGAAAGTGTCAATAAACCTTAACATTGAATTATGAGCAAGTGTTCGTGTGTTTGTTAGTATGTGTGTCGTAAACTTCAGTGTGTGTGTTGCTTTCTCAGCTTTATGATGGTGTTAAAAACCTGATAGAGATAAAAGCATTATACCTGGCAGACCATAACAATGTAGCCCCACACAGCAGGAGTGTGATAAACCCTGACTGACTGGACTTTGGCAGAAGGCAGCAGGACACCGGTGGGGCTCTGCTCGGCGAGCAGAGTGACACTGGTGAACAAGTTTGGCGCGGGGCTGTACAAGGTGAAGTGAACCTTCAGGGCCACCGTCTGTCCACCCAGCCAGCCACCTGAACGCAGAAGCTTCAGTTTGGATGCAGCGTCAGATCTGTAGAGGAGCAGAACGAATTGATTGTGGTGATGAATTCAGAGTTGATCACACGGAGAAAGTATTTCAGCTGTGATCTTCACTTGGATAACAATTGTTTCCACCATGTGTGTTACTGTGTACTTCTCACTTTGTGCGGCCTAAGCCAACTGTAGCGCTCGGTCCTGCGTGGCAACCCAGGGGACCACATGTCCTTGGCAGTGTTGCCATGGAAACCTGGGAGATTTGAGTGTGTGTTAAGAGCATACTCTGCACCCCAACAAGAATAAGCAACACAGCATACAGACAGTCAGAATATATGCAGTCAGGTTAAATATAGAAAAAAAAACCCAGGAATTAACATTAAACTGTGGCATTATGGTAGCTCCAAGAATTCAATTTCAATTCATTTCAAAGGGCTTTACTGGAATAAAAGTTTCAAGAAACAATACTGCCAAAGCTTCAACACACAATTAGTCACAATATTTGGAAAAACACACAATAATATTCACAGTATATTCTTTGCATATGCGTGTTTGTGACAACTGCATCGTACAAAGTTGTTCTTCATCTCTCAGTGTGATAAATTCTAAACCTTGAGCTACACTGACATTTTTCACAGGAACAATGCAGCATAATGCAACACTCCTGCAGTAAATCATGAAGGTTATGATGTTCAGCTTTGATGGAGCTGTTTTCAAGAGAAGATGATTTAACTTTGTGATCTTTTTGGAGGGTTGTGGATGGTGGTGCTGTTGAACTATATGGCATTACAACAGGTGTTTCTGCTATTTTGTCCATCCTATTTATATCAGTGAGGAAAGGCTAAAATGATTGCACGGCTCTCTAAAACAAAAACTGAATGTATAAAAGTAGGACTTGCTGCCATACTCTTGTGTTGTGCATTACACTGGATGCACCTAATAAAAAATGAGTGAATATCTGTGTGTGGCTCATCTTTGTGAAACAGCACTCTCTGCAGGGGGGATATAGTACAAAATACAGCAGCGTAATGACGTCCTGAGAGCCATGTGATTATTAGACGTTGATTATTTGCATGCAATTAGGGCAAAATTCAGCAGATTATTCAACAAAGATGTATTTTATGTAAGTGTAATTTGCGGTTATTTCACAAACAACAGAATAATAAAATACTACATTCATTAGTTTGTATGAAAAATCTGTTTGCAAAATCTGAATACAGTTTTTAGTAATTCAAGAATTTTTACTATAACCGTTATGAAGATATCTGTATTAAAATGAGTGAGCAAAGGTTAAATAAGTGGTGGAATATTAAACCTAAATGCATTTTTTGCTACTCACCTGGTTCTGAAATGTGTCGGACATCATCTTCTTCAGCATTGGCTCTCCAATCACAATATATGACTGCCGAACAACATTTTAAAAAATAAATAAAAGATTTAGTTTGTCTTTATATTGAAACATAATTAGGATTTCCTCCCAAAAGGTAAATTTTAAGGACTCCAAAAGGCTTATGTCCATGTTTAAGACACAATTCTTGACAGGGTGGGGTCAGATCTATTTTTCACTGATATGCTTTACATTAAATTGACTTCCCTTCAGAGCTTTAAGCCAGAGCTTACCTCAGTTTTAAATGATGCGTTCTTGTACAGTAAATCAAGCAGACTTGTCTGTGTCCACTTCCACCAGTCCTCATGCGTTTGTATGGCTCTAAAAGCATTGTCTTGATTCCTGATGAAAGTCAACATGAGATTTTTTCATGTGCTACAGGTGAGTGACAATGACAAAGACAGATATGCTTCTGCAATTGTTACCCTATAAAGAGTCTCCTAACAGCTCTATTGAGGTGGTAGTGGTCACTGACTGAGCTGCCATAGATGATACACATCATCAGGATAAACATAGGGACACAGAGAGACAAATCCCTGTGTGACAAAGAAAAGAGTGAATTACTTGTACAGCTTTAAATCATATACAAACAAGTGCACACATATCGGTACAAAGCCTCACACCTCAGTGTTTCATAGATCAGAGCGTTTCTTCTTTTCTTCCCACGAGTTTTCCTCAACTCTGCCGGTGTAGGCGGGCGCACAAGACGCAGGAACCGAGCTCGCCGACGAGCTCCAAGCAGCTGTCAATCAGAAACAGTTGAATTTGGGTAGAAAAGAACAGAAGAGTTTTAACTGTAACAGAGTCTGGGTTTCACCTTTTCAAGGCATCTCATCTGGGGGAAAGCAGATGACGTGAACGTCTCTTCTGGTTGATTATTGTGGCTCCACATTTTTAAAATCTCAAGACTAACAAAACTATGAAAGTCTGATCTTTGCTGGTACCAACAGGACACAGTCACAGCCACGCTAAGTATCTGGAAAAGAAGAATAATAAGCTAGTAATTAAGGGCTAAGGTTTTCACCGGTTTTTATTTGTTAGTTGAGAAAAGCCATTGAATTACCACAGCTGGCTGGATGAGGAAGATGCAAGACATCAGGGAGAAGAAAAGAGAATGTATCCACAGCAGAGCCTTGGTGCTGCTGAATCTGAGCCATGAGAACACACACAGACACAGTTACAGTGTGACACTGACACATGCACAATGTTACACTGACACAGCACCAAATACATATTAGAGAAACTCAGAATTTTGCAACCATCCATTCAGTGGCATCACACTTCCACTACCTCATTCCCAGCACTGTGGAGAACACAAAGCAGGAGAGACACAACAGCAGACACAGCGCCCAGGCCAGATAGTGACACCACTGGGATGTTGGTCGTAATCGTCTTTTTGTCTGTTGACCAGGCCACGCTGTCTGGTGATGGCAACCTTCCTCAAAGCTTAAGTCTGGTGAACATTTTCTAGGAGTTTCTTCCTCCTGGTGAACCTCCTCTTGACCTTCATGTCTCCTACTGGACAAACAGGCCTGTTGGGTTCCATTAAACCTGTTAGTTAAAAGCTCAAACTCTTTTTCCTGAGCTGCTTGATCGACATTACTCCAGAGCAACAGTTTTCGAAGGGCTGGTCCCACACTGCTCTCAAACGTTAGGTCATCCTCCTTTCTTATGGCCACATCTGGCAGGAAAACAGGTTCTTTATCAGTGTCTGTATTTCCTCGAGATGTAGTGAACACTGACTGGAGGTCTGTGTCCTACAATGGAAAAAGAAGGGTCAGACAGTGATGTGAGAACAAAAACACAGAAAAAGATGAAAAACACTCAAAGGTGTAACCTGGGATTTCTTCCTGTAGGTGTCCCACTGCTGAAAGCTGCTCCAGGAGAGATGGGATTTATTTACTGACAGAGCATCTGCAAGGAGATTTAAAAAAGAAATCAACAAAATGCAAAAAGATGACAGAAATTTAGAATAATAAAACAGAAGACATCTAATGCACTAACCTTCAAAACAGTCTTTTTCAGTCATTTTGCTCTTAGCGCGTTGGACTCGTGACCTCATCGGCTTGACCCCTCGCAGTCGAAACAGGAAAGCTATCACTGTTGCTCCGGGCAACACAGCCGCCACGCTTAAAAGTCCCGTTGTTACAGAAACAGCTGACATGTCGATAAAGCCCAACTCAAACAGCAACTGTGAACAAGGGATTAGAAGTTGTAGTATTGTTGTTATTATTGTTAAGCTTTATAGCTCTCCTGCACCAAATCTTCAACTCTGAAGGTTTTCTGACTCTACCTGATCATCCGTTTGTGATACGATTACTGTGTTGACACATGCGTAACCCAACAGCAGCAGCAGACACACGCTAAGTCTTTGGGTGTGTGTGAAGGAGTTGGGGCAAGGGCAGCTGCACACAGACATCCAGATGTGGAAATCGGCCATGTATTCCAATAGCTTGAGACCCAACATCTGCACGAATATAGATGGAGACGCATTGAAGCAGAATAAAATGTTAAAACAGGTGCTTTTAGTATATGGTTTCTCATGTGTATACAGTCGTCCTCAAATGTATTCATACCCTCCCATTAAAGAAGGAAAAAAATGGCTGTCACTAAAATAAGCTGAAATTGACAAAAGTAATAATAAATAAAAAAAATAATGAAAATCATGACATTGCTATGAATAGTGGTTCAACAGAACTATTGTTGTAAAAAAAAACAAAAAAAAAAACAAGCATGTGGGGACCCCTAAACTAATATTTTGTTGAACAACTCTTTGAGCCAATCACTGCAATCAGGTAACAGATATTTTGATTTTGGCCCACTGCTCATCAGTAAAGTGCTATGACTTGTCCAGGACAGTTTTTTTTTTCTTAATTATTCTTTTCAACCACAATTCAAAAGCAATGTCTTATTTCACTAAATTGTAATTTAGCAAATTTTTATTTATTATTACTTTTTTCAGTTTCAAGTTATTTGAGTGATTTTTGCGAATTTTGAATTTTCTTTAATGGAAGGGTATGAATAAATTTGAGGATGACTGTATTAGTGTTGTACCTTAGCAAAGCCTATTCCTTGAGTGCAAACACGTAGCTCCCTCTCCACTCGGCCATCGCCTTTGTTCACAGCCAACCAGCACTGACCGACAAACAGCCATCTCCTCACACGCTCTGTGTTCACCTGAATTCAAAGCAGGTAAACAAAACATCTTGTGGATCGAATTGAAATCCACATCTTTGGGGAAAAAAGGAAAAAAAAAACTAAATTGATGAGCTTTACCTCAGACACCTCCACTTGTTTGAGGTACCAGTCTGGGGAGGGTCCAGAGTTGTCATGCCAGATGTGAAGCCCCCACACAGGGCCCAGGCTGTCTGCTGCACTGTGGAGTGAAGACACAGAAAGAGCACTAACGAAGGCGTAAAGGAATGAGTAGAGCAAATGAGATTGTGTAGCATTATAGAAAGTAAAAAGTGTTGCACACTATAAAAACTGATTTTACGATGTGGAAAATAAAAAAGTATCTAATTTTTTATCTTGTTGAAGGCTTTCAACAAAATGTCTAATTTTTAAATTTGATTTTACCTCAGTATAAAGGTGTCTTGAGAGTTCCTCCTGAACAGAGTGCATCCTGGGACTTGTAGTTCTCTTGTCTGCGTGGCCCCATCTTCCCCATACAGCACTATGTAAATCTGACATTTAAGAGTTTCCTTAATACACATTAGAACTGAATTTAGTTTATAGTTTAGTTTCAATAAGTCTGTGAAACAAACCCACACAGTTAATAAAAAGTCAGTTTCATAGCAGTTTAGCTATTTCCAAAGCTGATATTTATTTTTTTTCTAAAGAATTTCAATTTCCCTCTTGTTTACTTTAAAGTCAGTTCAATGTTCAAGGATTATTTTTACATTTGTTATCGAGAACAGCTGTTCAAGTCTCCCAACCTCTCTTGTGTGCGCTAAAGGAGAGGGACTGAGCGAGAAGTTGTCATCGGGTGATATTTCACAATGAGGGGTGCTGCAGTTTTTCTGTCGTTGCTGCTCTGTCTGTACTGAACATGGGCTTAAGGTGAGAGAGAAAACTGGAAGGAAGGTGTTCAGTCTGAGACAGAAGATGTCAAAGCAGCTCGTGGTCACAGCAGCAGCAGACAGACCAACATCACCACTGACATCTGGGCTGAGCTGAGAGAGCTGAGAGACATGGTCATCGAACTACAGGTAGAGCTGAGATACAGCCAGAGCAAGGTGGCGGCGCTGGAGCAAGAGAACGCAGGTGACAGGCATGATAACACACTAATTAATGCTGATTAATTGATTTAATTACAGGGCCACACAGGGCAGACTGACAGTGAACTGCAGATGAATGCAGATATTTGCTGTCTTGTCAATCGTGAAAGTGAAAAATCTGCAAATGTGAAACCTTTTTTCTTTTTTTTGAAATGTAATTTTGATGGTATCCTAGCAATACCTTATTCAACCATTTTGAGTTTTGTAGTTCGACCAGAGAGCATCAACCCTCGTTTACATTCTCAGCATTAATGTTCTTTTTAATAGCTGATTTAAATGTGTTCACAGCATTGAAGGCCAGAATGAGCACCAGTGAAAACCAGGATGAAGAACTGAAGAGGGAGAACACAGGTAAGTTAAGAATAGCATTTTTTTTTTTTTTGAGTCAAAAAGGGTCACAGTAATGACATCTGAATGCCAGCATAAGTGTGGTTGAGGAGCAAACACTGTATTCTGGTAAAGACATGAAAGTAGGAGCCTGTGAAATGAAGGAAAATAACTTATTTGCATTACCAATGATGAAGCAGTGAGAATCATAGCAGCAAACGGAGGAATTTCTTCTACACAAAACAATGTAGAAGGACATGAACAGCTATGAATGCTATAATTTATGTAAATACAACAGAGGTGATATTTTGCAGCTGTTACTGAAATTCAAAGCCTGCATTGTTACTCTGCACCTGCTGCACAATGTGTATTTTTAAAAAAATGAATATTTTTATAAAATACCTGCATTTCTATATGTGCATCTTCCCGCATTCACGCAGAACGTCCAAAGGTGGTGTTCTCTCTTGGTCTTAGCTCGGCAGGACTTGGGCCCTTCAACACGGAAGTCACGATCAAGTTTAGCAAAGTCTTCTACAACTTTGGTGAAGCCTACAACCCATTTTCAGGTATTTCACCTCCACAAACTTATCAAACATAAATGTATTAGAGCAACACAATCAAACTCTAGATCGGTCAGTGTGCTTTAACCGAGCTGTGGAGAGCAAAAAAATCTGTTTACAGCAAGAAAAGTAATCATTTTGACCCTTTCGACTGGTTGTCTCCGTTGACGCAGGTTTCTTCATTGCCCCAGTCCGAGGAGCGTACTACTTCAGATTCACCATGTGGGAGTGTCGCGCTGCATACACGATGGCTGTTAGTTTGTATCACAACGACAAGATGGTGATGCTTAATGTTGCCGGAAGTGATGACAAGTGTGTCAACGTGTCTAATGCTTTAATGCTTCAGCTGGAAAAGGGGGACGTGGTCCACATGACTCTCTTACCAGGCTACGGTTTATATGATAATAATAATAATCTTGTCACTTTTAGTGGATTTCTGCTTTTCCCTCTGTAAGGATACTTAGATAAAAACAATTAGCTCAGCTATTCAAATAGAATATGCACATGCCTTTGTCTGGGTGGAAGAATGAGACACAGGCTAAGAATTTTTGAATGGTGAAACACTGTTTGCATCATGTGTGTTAATAAAATGAATCCATGTTAAGTCTGATTATCAATAAAGCATTTGAAGTCCTGAACCTACATGTGACTTTGTCTTAGCCTCATGACTGGCAGCCTGTCTGAGCTACACTCAACCTCTCCCCCTACACATCCTCAGAGAGCTTTCCATTGAGCCAGAAAAGCAGACAGATAGAGAAAAGGCTAGGAAATCACTAAACAACATTGAACAATGAAAAAAAAATTCATTAAAACCATGTTTCTGCTACAGTAAGATTACAGTATTAATCTACACCTAGTGTGCACCGGTGTAGATGAACATCTGGAAACCTTACCTTTGCACTCATACGGGCTGCAGAGCAGAGACCAGTGTGGATGGTGACGGCATAGAGATGTGGGTCTGATGGAGGGTTGTCAGAAAGGTAGTGGATCCTTCGGTTCCCCTCAGAGGAGACATCAGCTCTCTTACATGCCACCAACCCCGGGATGTACAGGCACAAACACAACGTCAGCACCACCACCACTGTCAGATCACTGGATGCACTGAGGTTTTAGAGAGGCAGAGAGGGGACACCGGAAGACGAAAAAAAAAAATATTTGTGTTATACTGGACAGACAATGTAGATACATGGCGCAAATTCCTGCTGCAGTTAAAGTAACAGAGAGACTTTATTTGCTCTTTTATAAATACAAGATCAAGGACTCGGAGGGGTGTAAGGTCACCTCAGGAATGGATCCAGATCAGCTGTGTCGTGGCTGCTCTGGATCAGGTGGCGCATTACAGTCAGCGGCCTCAACTGGTGGCAACTGGATCAAGAAGAAAGAAGTGATTCATTTTTGTAAGATGACACTGTATGCAGTTCTTTCTTGCAGTGTGTGTATGTTCAGTCACGCCTGACCTGCAGCTGACTGCAGGGCTCGTGTCCTCTAGCCGTGTCCTGCAGCCGTGGCGTGTCCAGGCCCCCTGCTGGCCGTCCCAGGACAAACACAGACTGCTGTCCACTGTGAGACTGTAGCTTATCTGTTCACTCAGGTGCTTGCTTCTGGGTGCTTTCCCAAATCCTGCATCAAGCAGGGCCAAGTGACCGATCCCTGCGGCTAGAAGTTTGTATGGTTTTGGCAAAGTAGTTTCTCTTCACAGTTACCAAACGCACAGATGAAATGTCAAAGCAAGTATAGTCACATAGAATAACATTTCAATGCGTTAGAAAGGCATTCGTTGACTGAATTTCATACGTAACTGACTGTTTAAGTGACATTTTAGACATTATATACTTTGTTAAAGCATTGCTAATGAAAAATTAGGGATGAAGAGGAACCAAGGAATTTCTTACCACTGAGGTAGGACGGTGGCAAAGTGATGCGTGTGGTGTTGCTCTCCCAGCGGTGAACCCTGTGCAAGTGGTGCATGCTGGGAGTCGGCCTCTCAAACATCCTGACACAGCAGAGACTTGTAGTTTGGTTTCCTGCCATATTCTTCCCATTAAAATGGGAAACTAAAACCATATAACTCCAACTATCAGTCGATTGTAGTTGTAAAATGATCATACACTGCAAGTCTACCTGAAGAGCAGCATGATGGGAAACGCCTTGTTGGGCGACGGCGTGAACACCACGGTCACCTGGATGGCCTGCTGCAAGTGCTCCTGGGTAATGTTGAAGCTGTGGTAGCTGATGTGGCTGCGCAGGAGGATGTACTCGCTCACGGAGCTCCTCTAAAGCAGAAAAAATGCAAGCTGTTGGAGTTAGTCATAACATAGCATTCTTTTGTTTACAAGAAAACTCCCCTAGACTAGAATTTCCATTTAAAAAGAAAAGGAAGCAACATACGTTTCTTTGTAGATGATGCAGCTCAGTGACAATCGGCTGAATGAGGGAGCGAACGGGGATCCTCCTCCTCGTGCTGCACTTGTACAGACTCAGGTCAACCACTGGTCCACTCAACTAGAAATCAGAGGAGTGAGTAAAAAGTGACGCCTTGAATTCAAGTAACTTGATATCCAAATGTCTTGCTGTTCTCACCTGTGTGGAATAGCTGGCCCAGGTGAAAGGGCTGTGAGCCAGCTCAGTCAGCACTTTGAGGACACACGGTCGATGCTGTAACCGATCAGTGACTCCAGTGTGATGATCAAACAGAATCTGGATCAGAGGAGCAGGCATATAGAAAGTAGCTGAGCCGCTGTTGATGACTGTGGAGGTCTGGTTTAGGGATGTGGCATACAAAGTGATGAGACCAGCTCTCACACTGTGCTCTTTGGTCTCGTGGAACAGAATGGACTTCTGAAAGAAAGAGAATGGAGATCAGTTGACGTGCAAAACAGTGAGTGTGGGGAGAGACTTCTACATCCACAAATCTCACCAGCATCAGGTCCGAAGCAGTCTGCAGAATATCAGTCACAAGTTGCATCACTTGCTTTGTTGGAGTTGATCTTCGCTGTTTGGTGTGAGGACCAGCAGATGAGTCACGTATGTAGGCATTAGGAGCGCCTTTTTCACCACTATGTGAGCCTGTTTCCAATGCTTGTGTAATGTCAACACTGTTGGGTGTTTCAGGTGTGAAGCTGCAGCTAGTGACCACCTGAAGGCTGTGTGAAAGCAGGCTGATCAGAGAGCTGAGCGTCTTCTGGTCAGAACACCGCTCTAAGATAGCCCGAATATGAGCTGTTACTCGTCTGGCACTCACTAATGTCACCTGAAAGGAATAAAGCATGTATGATAAATGGTTTTCATATTTCAGAATGCATCTGTTTTTCTCCATGAAAATATCCACGGAAGAGTTCAACCATCCAACTACCTGATTTGTAACTTTGAGAAGGTCTTCGAGAATGTAGATGTTGTCCGTCGTTGAAACCTAGAAGTGAATTATGTTAAAGCAGCCCTGCGAAAGAATGTGAATTTGTTCATCTTGAAGTACTGTGTAGGTTTGTGTGTTGGTGTACCTTTTCAAGCTCACAAAGTGTGCAAATTAGCTGGTTGCGCATGTGTCCCTGTGCCTGTGTGTTGGCCTCAGTGTCCAGGCTGAGTCTGTTCAGGATGATGGAGAGGAGGCCGACGTAGTTACGGATCTCTACGCTGTTCCCAAGCTGCACCAGAGCCGACAGGTTCCTCAAACCTGACTCTGAGCTGGAGAGAGCGAGAAACTGATGATTATGCACATAGAATGAAAGTTTGCACAGTGTAGAAGAATGATATGAGCTGCTCAGAATAATGCTCTATACAGCCATGTGAAAAAGTCAGTGGATGAAAGTGACAGGGAAATGTAGGTTTGAATTAAAATAGAAGTAACATTATTCTATGGACAAGATAAATACCTGGTCTCAGCGGGAAGAATCAGCTGCAAGAATTTTGGAAGTTTTCTTGCATGTTCTGCTCATTTCAATTCCCCTCAAAAACATCTTAATAGGATTCAAATCTGGTCATTCCATAACCTTCTATCTCTTCTTTCTGAGTCAGTCTTTAGTGGATTTTTCTGTGTGCTTATGATCATTATCCTGTTGAAAGGTTCACTTCTGGTTCAACTTTCAGGCATATGGCCTGTTATATGATGCTGAATTCAGCAAGCTGCCAAGTCTCTGGAGTGGACTTGAAGAGTCCATTTGCAAAAACAGGTAACTCCATTTCTGTAGATTTTCTGAAAATTTGTTTTTTTGTTGTTTGCTTGAGAAAATATCAATCAAACTGAAGTTGAGTGGATTTGACTCAGTAGAAATGACATGACAAAAATAGAGCTGACTTAAGTTTAATTGATATTGTCTCAGCTAGACGATGGAAAAGTGGGTTCTCTGAAGGTTTGTGAAGATGGAGTTATCTGTTTTTGCAACTGAACTTTTCACTTTCTTATTCCATGTGGCTGATCTGTTTGATTCTTCACATAAATTCTGAAAATTCAGAAAATGTCGCTTTGAAGTGCCATTTGTTGCGGTATTTCACCTTTAATAAATATTTCAAAAAGTCAACAGTTTCCAAGGGATGTCCTTATTTTTTCACATGACTGTTGCCAGACTGGTGGAAAAATTGAGCCTGCAGAGGATCCAGACTAAACTTCATTATTAATAAGTTATTAAAATGTACAACTGTGGAGAAGATAACCCAAACATCTAACATTTATTAGTTGCCAGTCTTCTGTTACAACTTCTTAACCCTTTAAAAAGAACGTATTACATGAAGTGATTCTCTTCTGGATTTAAATCTCATCTCAAAATCTGACGTGTCTAAATGTAACTATCTTTCTGCCACTGAAAATCGCATTATGATGTGTAAATACTGTGTTTTCTCAAACTGTCTTTAATGAAACCGTGAAACGTGAACATCATCAGAATTTGACGGTGTTGCTTACAGCTCCAGATCAGGATCATGATGTGAAGAAGAGGACGAGGTGTTTCTGAAGAAGCTCGGTTGGACTCGGACGGTGACAGGACAGGGTTTGGTGGCTGACCCCAAAGTGCTGCTTCTGATTTCTGTATAAATAGTTACTATAGAAACAACAATAAATAGTTTCACTTTGCTAAAAAAGAAGAACTCACTGCAATGAAATGTCTCCATAAAAGTCATGAATCCGTGTCAATGTGCCTGACCTTCTGCCTGCGTATGTGTTGGTGTGTTTACCTTTATAGTCGTCACTGGGGTCACCTGATGGAAGACTGAAGTAGTGCTGGAAGTCTCTCCCCTGGTACAGCGTTCTGCGGGGTCTGCCTCCTACACTGTAGCTGTACTCATACAGTAAATCCTATAGAAGACACACAAACACATACAACTTAGTGAAAGTTGACGAGCAGTGCAAAGTAGCTGGAGAGAAAGCTGGACGGAGATTGTAGTGGTGTATGTTGCTCTGTATACCAATAATAAAGATGGGGAATGAGAAATAACTGCAGCATTTTAGTGGGAGAAGATTTGCTGTTTAGAAAAACCTACATTTTCACAAGAAATTTGTTAATTAGCAAGTATAGGTGAGGTTTATTTCCAACATTTAGAGGTAACCAAGAACAACTGAACTCAAATATGAAAGAATAAAACCTACTACATCTTTTCTACTGCTTTGTATTTATAAAAAAAAATGTTTGGAGTGTGTTCACATATAAACTATCCACCTGGCACAGCATGCAGGGTAAAATAAACAACAAGTGTGTTAACTGTGTACAACAGGGTTAGTGTTACCTCTCTCCCTGAGGTGCAGAAGATGCTGAAATGTGTGTAAAACTCTCGTCCTGTGACTGGCTGCACCTGACACGTCATGCCTTTTGGAACAGGGTTGGTTTGGAAAAACAGCTGAGTCCGTCCCAGAATGCTATTTTGAGATTCTGAATTCACAAAAAAAAAAAAAAAAAACAAGCAAACAAAAAAAAGAAACAGAGAGCATCGTTACCACACAGATCCATCCTAGAAATGATGCATTCACTGAGGACAAACATGGCACTGAAATAGACAAAAATCTTAAAACCAAAATGCATTTTGTCCCAATTTGCAGTTAATACTCATCTTTAAAGGCTCCTTTTGAGTTAAACAATAAAACAACTAAAATACCTGTAAGTGACATTTGCAATGTTTATCAGCAGGAAATTGCAAAAACAGAAAGAATCGTCTGATTTTTAACTTTCTGACAGTCTATGAACACATCATGTGTGACATGCAGCACCATCCGGAAATTTAACCAAATCTTTAAAATGACTTTATTCTACATGTCTTGTTTAAACATTGAATAGAAATAAAACTTGTGTGCTACTTGGTGCAACCACAACACTAATACTGTTTCAGCTGTGGCCAACTGGAATGTGACAGTAATTCAGGGACTTTTTTTGGATGAACTGCAGGCTGTGTAAGCACAGAGCAGATGGGGGACAAGTATAGAAACAAATTCAAACTGGAAGTAGTAAAACATTCATAGTATGCAGAGCACCAACTATTTTCCAGAATTAGTAACACTTGTGAACAGAAATGTGGGACATGATGATTCTAGGTTTTTTCGTCTTTTTTTTTTTTGCAAAATGAGTAATATGGTATTATAGTTGTGTTGAACTGGACAAAATATGTTTTTTCTTTACTTCTAGCCATGGTTGAGGTGCAGGACTTCATATTGCAGTACAAAATGAGCACATGGTGAGTGAAAATGTAACAGGAGCAAAACAAAAACATCCAGAAACGACTTTGAATTTAGACAGTTAAACTATCCTAATCAGCATCGATTACACTTCTACATGTGTTGCATTTCAATAAATGTCAATTATTGTGTTGAAACTTACCGGCAGTGACCTCCAACATGTACCTGCTCCCCGCCCTCAGACTGAAGGGTCTGAAATCGAGCGAAGGGGAGGAGCTTCCTGGAAACATATAAACAGAGTGAAAGATGACTAAATGCTGAGTCATAGAGAGAGAAAACATCCGTTGGTGAGATTTCCGAATAATATACCCGTGTAGGACTCAAAGAGGCCTCTGTCCAGTGGGTGTCGAGGTAAGTCGAGCAAACTGGGATCCTGAAGCACCACGGGCGGTTTGAGATCCACCAGATTACTGCCTTCGTCTTGGTGTGTTGCTGGATCAAACAGTGAGTCGTCTCCTGGACTGAGGCTCTCACCGTCTACACCTGCAGATGCACATGAATAAATGTATAACCATCTCATATTAACAATACAGAGGCAAACTCAGATATGTTCAGTACCTGTGGGTCGTCCTGCTGACATCCCAGGGTCTCCTTCCTCTGCACTTGGGAAGAGAGCGTCATAATCTGAAATAGATTCAATTAAAAGAATGACATATAATAATAGGCAATAATACCCCAGATAATTAATATACATTGATGGTTTTTGAACTTATATATAGTATGATGTGTTGTATTTTAACTCATTCTTCTTATGTGGTGTGAGATTTGTTCAGGCAGAGAGAGACCATGCAAAGTGCTGCACATTCACAGCATAAAAAACAACAGGCTGAAACATTAGATAACACAGGCATCAAACAGCAAGAAAACGAAATAAATATCCCACAAAAACATAACGAGGGAAAAACTCTCTGAGCACATAAAAAGACCATGGAATCAAAACTGCTTTGCATATAAAAGTAGCTTTCAAAAAGCAGACACAGCGAGCTGGCTAATTTAGCGGTTGTGGTTTCCTATTTTTCGCTGCTTAATTGAGCTGTTTACTTTGTGTTGGTTCCAGGTTGGAAAACAAACTATTTCACAAACTATCTTAGCTCATTCTAGTTTTACTGTCCTCAGCTTTACTGTTCTCTCTCATTATAACTTACAAAAGCAAACTGTTGCAACTGATTTAGAGCAAACTTGTGGGTGATTTGTACCAAAAGACATTCGTTTGCAAATAAATATTTGGCCACTGATGGCAAATTTCCATCGTCATTTTACATAGAGTAATGAGAAGTTAGCGGTAAACATGTTGTTTTATGTTTGCCAGACATAAAGTTGATGTAGTGAAATATGGCAGTGTGTTTGCAATTAACAGGAAGGTCGCATTTGATTTGTGGAAAACTTCGGACTGGTTTGCTGCTGGCTTGTAATAATGTTTACTGTTTGTCACAGATTCATATGTATGTTGTTTTTTGAAAATATCCCAAGATTGCAAGTTTACCAGAAATCCAATTTGCATTTGAAAATATGACAAAAATGTGAAAATTTGTCGCATTTCTCAAAGGTAGCTGTCTATCAGAAATTGCTCCCAGGAATGAATAGAAACCAAATTCACCTAAAAGGATGCTGAATATGTGACCTAATGAGGCATAACCATCTCATAAATATACAGTAATTTTTACCAAAGTACTTTTTTAGCATTAGTTTTAAATAAAAAGAGGCTTTTGTTCAAATATTTAATATTAATACTCATAAAATAATAGTAATTATTCAATGTTTTAATGATATTTACACATGCAACAACACTCAAATTACCAGCAACAGATAAAATGTGATATATTAAATGAAAATAAAATATTTGGGACATTATGATAAATTTGTAAATGTATTTAAACTTTTTTTTTTTTTTTATCACTTACTTAAAAAAAATCAGTCATTCAGGTTTTTAATGTTATCTTTTATTAGACATGTAAACTCTATTTTTGTAATTTTACTGATTTGTATTGTATTGTATTTTTCTTTTTATGTATTTCAAAACCCTGAGTCAGCTGGGATAGGCTCCAGCCCCCCGTGACCCTAGTGAGGAGTAAGTGGTGTATAGATAATGGATGGATGTATTTCAAAAACGCAGATATAAGTAAGTTATATCATATATCATTTCCAGAATAATGTGTTTTTGTTTCAGCCTGAGTAAAGCTATAATAAGCCAGAATAGCTGAAAACGCTTCAGTCTTATAATTCAAAGAACTTGGGACTTGCAAACCATAAAGCTTCAAAGCCAGATTTTCATTTTTTTTTCTCACCTAGCTGACTGCCCTCACCACTACTCTCTGGCACAGGAAAAGAAAAATCCCAGTAAGTAGAGGAGTCAGGCTCAACTGGAAGTTCGCTGGTAATATCAAAGTGGTCCGAATGCATGATGCTGCCATCGCCGAGGACAAGTGGACTCGTAGAAGGCTCCGACTCTGACAAGGGGAGGAAAGAGGAGAAGCCAACTTCAGTGACAGGTCGGTACATTTAGGGGTATAATATTTATCTCACAAGCTACAGTGATAACGCACCGGCTTTGTCTGATGTGTCTCTGCTTTCATTCGATCGGTCCAGATTTAGATTTTTGGCTTTAGTTTCAGAGGAATTCTCAGTTGGGGATGAAGCAGCAGATGCATAGACAGAGTGGCTGGACTGTGAACTTGCCACTGGGGTGTGTAGGGTAGAAATCTCGGGTGTTTGAGGGGATGTGGCAGGATTCTCCATGATGGAAGAGAAAGAGGTGAGATCTACGGTGGAACAAAACGGGACTGGAACAGAACACATGAGTATAAAGTCAGAAATTGTCTTAAAAATGAAGCAATAGCAAATGACTGTAGTCCAGTTAAAAGCAGGAAATAAGTGGATAAATATGTCTTTGTCTTACTTTCAGTGACAGGCTTGGATGAAGCATTGACCACATACAGACTCCAGCTGTACTGGACGTGTTCAGCAGGAATGTTACAGCCTTCACACGTGGCGCTAACAGAAAACGTCTGATCCCAGCTCACACGGTCTCCCTGACAACGAGAGCAGGAAACAGACACCCTCCTGGATGGGATGGATTTAGAAACATCATTTTAATCAGTTCAATGAATTCTAAATTACATCAGGTAGCATTAGTGGCTTAAACTGATGAATCATTACTTTAAATTACCGTTTTTTTAACTCGTACCTGATCAGGTTTGACACTAAGGTGACGAAGGTCTCTGCTGAAGCTGAACGCTCTCCGCTGTGGACGGTGAGCCTGAACTGGAACTGGTCAAAGTTGTGCTTCAAGAAACCGACAGGGAACTTGAGCACCGAGGATGAAGTGTGAATGTGCTGGCTGAAGCAGGAGCTGGCGATGGAGCTGACTGGCTTACATGTCCAACTGTAGCTATGCAGAGGAGATTAGAAAAGAAGTTAAGTTCCAAACACATGCAGATATTTTAGTGAAACATGCCAGCAGGAGACAGAAAATGACATCAAATAGAGGCAAGATAGGGAGAAAAACATGTAAACAACTAATAACAGAAGCAAAATGACTGCAAAATGTTAGAAAACAACCATAGAATAATATTTTAAGTGCTTTATTTGCCATCCATCTGTTCATTATTGCACAGAATAATGTTCTCCCCCGTTTAAAAGTTTCTAACAGGTAACACCTTTCACCACCCAGGACCTCGGTAAGTGGAGGAATGAAACAATAAATGCAGCTCTAAGCACCCAGGTTGAGGCTTTGAAGGCTTACACTGGAGGGGCAAAGGCTCATATTGTGTCTCAAGAGGAGATCAGTCAGCTCTCTACCAGGCTGAAGAAAGAGACCACAGAAAACAAGTCTGGGCGAACAGAATTTCTGACTAACAAGGCCAGACCCCGTGGACCTGGAGACTGCAGCCATGACAACAAGACTCCCATCAGCAGGAGCTTGGTGCAGAGAAGATGTTGCACACTGAAAGACAATCAGGAGACGATCCAAAGACTGAGGAGTGAGCAGGATGCCCTCCGTTAGAAGTAGGAGGGCCTGACACTAAAAAATGCACCTTAACCAAGCTTGGCACAAAGGAAGTGATCGATCAGGCCCTTCAGAATAAAGCTGCTCAGCTGAAGGAAGAGCAGAAGGAGGAGGAGGAGGAGGAAACCTTCATCGTTGCTGACCAGCCTTTGACAAAAAGCTCTCAGAGTAAAAAAGAAGTACTCTGTATGGAAATAAATCTGCCACTTCCTTGGTATGAGGAAGAAGAAGAGAAGGGAGTCTGAATCAGTGTCTGGGATCTTTATTTACAGCAAACTGTGGTGTTTATTTTAATAGGGAGGAAGTGAATAAGAGAATGAAAGAAGCGATTTCAGACACAGCTTCTATTTTAGTGTCCCATAGCACAAACTGAACATCTGCAAAAGTTCTGAATTGTGATCAACACCAGCGTTATAGTATACATGTGAAGGGATTTCTGCTCCCGCTGCTCTGAACAGTCGACTAAAGGGTTACTCGGACTCCATCAGATAAGCTGTCGGAGCAGAGTTTTTGAAGGCCGCACACACGAGCCAGGGTCATGGAGATATGTGGAGCCTCTAAAGGACAGTGTCTAGAGGATAATCTTTGCATGTGATGAGTTCTGTGAGTGTACACCCTGAGATTCAGAATTAGGAAGACAAATATACGGCTCACTTAAAGCACAGCATCTCCGCTCAAGCTTCTGATTTCAAAACACCACAATCCATTTCAAGGATTCCTGCCTCGGGCTTGATGTCCATTAAAGGTTTCAGTTGCTACCTGAGTGGGTTCATGGGGAAGTCAGGGTCATGAGATGCCTGCCCATCCAGGGTTACTGTGCCGGAGCTCCTGTTAATGAAGACGTTGGTGCCACCCTGGATGACAGCCACAGGAGGGCTTGGTACCACCTGAACTCTCACGCTGTAGTTACTGTACACCACACTGCCCACGACCTGTACCTGCAGAGAAATGACAGGTGGGGATATGTAATGCAGCTACAAACCACTTTCAGGCTTGTTTGGTGAAGATAAGTGTAAAAGAATATATAATACGCACTTATTGTGAGAAAACACAGAATTGTCCCTTTGACCCAAACTGCTTGCCCAGTTTAAGGATCAGTATGTGATGGTTTTTGTGCTGACTTACCCTGGCTATGGCAGTGTAGGTGTCATACAGCAGGAGGTGGCTCTGTAGTGTGAGACTCTGTCTGTGTGTGTCTGTTAGAGGTAAAGGGAAGCTTCGGCCTGCAGAGTCAAACAATGTCCAGGTGTAGTGAAGACCTCCCGATCCGTCACAGTCAACCTCTGTGTCGTACGTCACACCCAGACGGACGACCTCATGTCTGCGCACCTAAGTACAGAGAACAGAATGGATCTTCTTTTTCACAACATTATATCATAATCTGTTTGCATTCTAACATCTGCACTGTAAAAAATGTGTTCTTTAACAGATTTTTCAGAAAGTTAAGTTACAGTTAAAACATTGGTAAATTACATTTCAGTTGTTAAAGAAAAACAGAATAAACTGTAAATTACATTTACACAAACATCCATATTTTAACTGTATTTTTACATTTCTTCACTGAAAACTATTACATAATATTACCATAATTAAATGCCCCTAAGTGATTGTTATTTTACAGATCTTGCTGGTATTTTACAAAGAAAAAAAACATTTTTAGAGCAAAAAAAAAATGCTGGAAATGTTAAATCATTAATTTCAAGTTGTAAACTGTATAAAATGTGTTCAACTATGGTTCAAAGTGAGTACCTGTAGTTTGAGAGGCCCCATGTTTTTGACTGGTGGAGGCCGACAAGGCCGATCCACAACGAAGATGTAGCTGCTCAGAGAGGCAGAACTGATCAGGTTAGACACATTCACTTCAAGTCTGAACTCTCCTGTTCTGCAAAGAAAAACACAGACATTTATTAGGCACAATGAAAGGACAAGCTGACCTGTATGTCAGGAAAATTATTTAGAAAACAACACAAGATTAGCTTCCTTATCTGGGCTGATTAAGTGAGATAGGCATGAGAGAGGATTCAGTATCGTCACATTAAAATAATGAGAGTAATTCTACATTTCTGATAGCCATAAGTATAAAACTAGCTCATAATAAATAATTTAAACTTGAATTTACCTGCAGAACAATAAAACTAACTCAAAACCAAGTGAAACTCTTTGGCCCACCTATAGAAGACATGCTCCTCTGAGCTCTGTCCAGGTCGGACTGTTCCGTCTCCGAAGCTCCACAGGAAGGTCAGATTTGTCCCCACATTAACTCGGCAGCTCACCACCACTGTCTGGTTCTGCAGGACCGAGGCCTGGTGGATCAGCCTGTTGAGCTTCACTGCTCTCTGGACGACCAGCTGGAAAGCGTTGGAGGTGACGGACGTCTGACCATGAGATGCAACTAAGACAACATCATAACTGTGGAGAAAGGGGAGTTAGAAATGATGAGTTGCAGGTTTTGCTTATTTTAACTAGCAAAGCTGATATTTAAAATACGATTTCTGCATGTACAGCATCTTCAGCTATTTTAGTTCTACCTTTGACAGGTTTTTATTATTAAATCACTTCAATGCTAGATTTAAAAAGTGACCTTTAGCAGTCTTTAATGCACAAGAAGAACACAAGAAGCCCTTTTAATGTAAGAACTGAGATCAGCACTGGTTTATTGGAATAAACTCATATGTTGCATTTTGCATGTACCTGCCAGGTTGGTAGAATCTTCTAGTGACGGTTCTTGAGGTGGTTCGGGCTGATCTGGAGTCTCCAAAGTGCCAGAGGAAGTCGACAGGATCTGGTAGATCAGCCACAGCCAGGAAGGTTACATCTGTGTTTGTAGGATATGCTTGCTTTGCTGCAGAAATTCTCACAGCTAGAAAAAAAAAGAGATAAATGGTCACTATGTATGCAAGAAATATCTACACATTAACAATTGTAGTTTAACAGAAATTATCCATAATATGTACCATGTACCATTTTGGAGCTACATTATCATCAGCTCTTGTTCGTCTTTGTGTTTGTTTGTAATGTTCAGAGAGAAGACGAGAAATTAGCAAACCTGGAAAAATATAAGGTAAAAAAAAAATCCCTTTTATTTTATCTCTGGATTTTTACAGAAATGTGAAAGTCATAAAAATGATTAGTTATATCACAGAAGATGTTTGAAATTGATTAAACAAGAGTTGTTGTCCTTGTAGGTACACAATTACCTGACAGAAAATTTTTATTTTTAATCCTGTAGCTTCAGTATTGACAATCTTTTGAAAATCTACATCATGTCAACCATAAATAAACCACATTTAATTTAATTTAATATTTTTTTATATGTCAGAATCCTGTTGTTTTATTGTTTCATTTAATATCTGGGTGGTTTTTTTTTTTGCTGTAGATATTTAATACCAAAATGTCTTGTTTTTTCACTCCAGGTACACTATTAATATTGAAATGTGTCTTTTTTTATTTTATGTATTTATGTATTTATTTAACTGTGCATAGACTGTTAAGTAACAGAAAATTGTCGTTTTTTTTATGACAGTACAATGTCCAGAAAATGAGCTGCCAGCCCTTTTCCTGTTGTTTTATTGATTTATTTAGCATTTGCCGTTTTGGCAGGCTGTAGATATACAATTAAATAACAGCAGATGTCAAATTCTTATAGTGACTTTGTCATTAAAAAGCAGAAAGCGCTTCCTTTTTTTGTCTTGGTCCACTAATAACTGGGTTTTCTACTATAGATACATCATCTAAAAAATAGATCAATTTCTTTACTGTAGAATCCACATTAAAATCCAGAAAATATCTGGGGCTTGCTTGTTTTTTAAATCTGGGTATGAAGCTGCCTGTAGTTTTTTGTAGGTTTTTTTTTGTTATTTTATGGATTTATTTCTGTAAATGTGAACCACAGATGATGAAGAGAGATTTTGTGCAAACATAAACAATTAAAGAGTGAATTTGTTGAGTTTTTTTAAGTGGTAAATGGCATGAGGAGTAAAAAATTATCTTAACTGTATCACATTGATGCTGAATTAATGTTTAAATGTTTACCTTGGTCGTGCATGCTGTGAACAGGAGTTGCACTGGTGGTTGGTTGCCACGTTGGATTTCTTCTGTCTTGCGGTGACACTTTCCTGTTTCCCCCAACACACACTCTCACACTTCTGTTCTCAGAAAACACTCGATTCTCAACTCGAAACTCAATCACAATCGCCCCAGTGTGGTTAAAAAGCAAAACCGCCTTTGCTTCTGTGTCATAGCTGCAGTTTCTGTACAGTGCTGTTGCATTCACCAGCAGAGAGACGGTCATGTTGAACCCCGCTGTGACGCTGAATAAAACCAAGTGACTTTGACTTCTGGTGGCGTCATTGGAAATGTTCAACACCAACTTTCCAACTGGATCCTGAACTCGGATGGGAAGACGGAGGTGCAGATGGCAGCTGGAGTGGTTGAAGGTGTGGAGGAGGTGGAAGTGGTGGGTGCCAACTTGCCAACAGATGTGACTGATGTAGTGATCACATGTGACGTTGCCACGGTTACAGTCCTTTTCGTTGCTGCCGAGGTCTCTGTGATCCTCGTGGCTGTGGTCGTTCTCTGCAGTCAGCGTGAGGTTGAGGACAAGCAGGTGTTTCGCGGTGGCGAGCAGCTCCACAGCCACAGGAACAGTCGCTCTGAGGTCGGAGATGACAAAACACACCTGCAAGAAGAGAACACTGAATTTATCAAATTTTGTGTCACAAAATCAGATATATCTCTACATCTGAACACATAAATAAGCCACACCGCTGCACTGGCTGACGTGATTCTTCATTACAACGAACAAAATACTTGATAATGCACTAAATATATTTTCATCCAGAGCTTGAAGTTCTCCCTACAGTAGCTGATCTGGTCTTGTTTGAGTAATTTTTTACTAAAGCTATATCTTTATGATGTTTTTAAAGATTAGCATTATTGATTAGGTAATATTTGCATCATTATTGCCACACAGCAACATATTCAGTGGCTGAAACAGAGCATTTACAACATCTATTGTCTCCTGTGTCCATTTGTATGCACTGGAGGCGTTCACTGACACTGTGTGAGATCCGTGTGTTTCAAAAGTCCACTCCTAAAGGGCATATAAAACACTTTTTTTGTGTGTTTTCTAGTTGTCACATTAAACACATAGCAGTGCATTCATGGGGAATATTTTAAACTGAATGTTATTGCTGTTAACTGAGCATTAAGTCCCTTTTCCTGGAGATTCTTCATTGTCAACCCTTTTTATTTGTACCTACAGCACTTTTTTTGTTAGCCTAAAAGGCCTCTCTCCCATGCTCAAAATTAAACCTTAAATTCTTATGATATATTTAGATAGACAAAGTTTTGTTGTGTGTTGTATATATTTAAACAGCACTTGACTTTGACTCCCTACTGCAGTATTTGTCTGGTCTTTCTTCAATCTCTGCAGAATTCTGGTGTTCACTGCTGACTACTGTTCCTACAGCGTTTGCTCATGAACACTTTCTCGATTTCCTTTAAAATAGCAGTAGCTTGGACTCTCATGAGCAAAAGGAGTTATCAGCAGCACATCAAAATGTAGTTATGGTCATTTCTTGATCATGGAGGAAGAGACAAAAGAGTCCACGAACTAGTTTGCTATGCTGCTCATCAATTATGATTCTTTTGTAGAGTTTTTACATTCTAGCTGTTGATCCTTGACTCCTATGAAATATTTAAAACAAGGACATGAGTAAAATAATTAACTGTGGTAAAACCTGAATTAAAGCTGTGTTTTTTTTAATTAACATTTGTCAATTATCACTTGTTATTTGTACTTTCTGATTCTGCTGGACGACCAAAGTCATCAGTTGTAACATAAAATGACCTGATTTGTCAGATCTAGTCTGTAATAAGATATTTGGCATCATCAAAATAAAATTAATTTTCACAGACTAATGGTGTGTTCCTCATGTATATATTTTATCAGAAATCTTGAATTCAGTTGCTTACCTTATACACTCTCATCCTATATCCTGCTATCAAATAGACAATTTGATTCATTTTTGTTGTAATTTTTTTTGACATGCTGACATTTGAATTAATTCACTGTTAGAAATACTTAAACAACTATTTCACTTTGTAATTAAAAACCTCTGACATGCCAAAGTTGGTTCATTTATTCTCGATTATAAGCTACTGTTGATTTATGGCTGATGGGAAAATCCATCATACGCTGGTAAATAACAAACTACAGGCTCATTCATTAAAAAAGGCAGAACTTCAGTCTTACATGCTGAAAATCTTCGCATCAAACTGTAACACCATTTCTCAGCCAAACTTACCACAGAGCTGTTCAGACAGTCTGATTCGCAAAGACAAACTGTCCCTTCACCCTCCGTGTTTCCTGCAGCCAGACCTTCCCTCACATGCAGTGTGACGGCGTCTCCCTGGTACGCTGCCTCCACAGTCTCACCATCAGGGTCTGAGAGTGCAGAGGGGATGCAGGAGGGGACGCCCGGGGGGCCGTGAAGCAAAGACATCATTAAGCTGCCTGGAGAGGACCGCGAGACGGACAAGTGGAGGGAGGAGGAGAGCGTGGAGAGGGGGTTGGAGGCACAGACGCCTGAAACAAAGAATGAAAGAGGAACAGGCAAAAATAAGACACACGACATTGTGTAGAGCAGAATGGAGTTCCAGGAAAGAACATAAGTTTGCTCTTGTGAACTTACGAATCTCATATTTGCCTGGATTTTTAAAAATCCAATCAAATGACGCAGTAAAGGAACCATCATCCAACACGCTGACACGGGCTGAACTTTGACCTTTAGAGGTCGTCTCCAGGAGCTCCACAGAGACATAAGAGAGATCCTGTCCTCCAAGTCCCAGAATCCCTGGAAATCACAGAAAAACTCAAGAGGACTGTTCACAGAAATATACATTGCTAAACAAAAATGTATGTCAGTATGAATTGGATATCAAGAGATTCATTTTCTCTGCGTGGACACCTTCCTTCATATTAAAATTCAATAACAATTACATTCTAAATTGAATGATTTTCAGCACAACATAAGAAAAACATTCTTCTTGAAAAAATATTCCATATTTTTGCACAATATCTAAATCCTTTATTTTGTGCTCTATCATATTTCACTTAATTAAATATTTATATAAAGATTAAATGCATATTTTTAATGGCTTTACTCTGTCCATGTGAAGTTGTTATGAGACAACAATGAGAATGTGTTTTCAATGACAAAACACAACTTGATGTGTTTCTAGTTTAATCCTAACATGAAATTAATTTGCATTTCTCTCCCATTTTTTTCCAACTATGTATATTTTTGTAAAAAGATTGAGTATTTAAAACTAAATTAAAAATAAAAACTGACTCCAAAAATATTCTATGTACAGTTGGAGCACTGCCATGCATGGATAGAGTCTTGTTATAAAAATATAAGAATAAGATAATCATTTTAAACAACAAATAATACATGATGATTAATGTTATTAAATACACAGCTTCAAGATTTACTTTATGTAAAATCCCAGAAAATATACTGTAGACTAAAAGTAAATTACAAATGCATGTTGAGGAAGAAATGGACAATGTCAACTGTGAAATAATGCATTTTAACTAAAAGGTCCAGCAGAAAACATTTTCTCACAGCAAACACCTTCAAGCAAAAAGCTATAACACAGGAGGTAACATCTGTGCAGCCGATGGGCTTCTATTTCCAAGAACAACACAAAATACAGCAGCAGCTGACCTGTGGGCTGACTGGGGCGTCCGGCCAGGTTTCCAGACACTTCCACGACAAAAGCCTCTCCATCCTTCACTCTCTCCGGAGACGCAGACACACTCATGTTGTGCAGAAATGGTCCTTCAGTTCTGTAGAGTGCCACAGTTCCCTCCTGTTCATTTCCGAGAGGCAGCAGGTACAAGGCACTGGGAAAAGAAAAAGAAAAGAAAAGAAAAGAAAAGAAAAGAAAAGAAAAGAAAAGAAAAGAAAAGAAAAGAAAAATTCTGACTCATCCAGCTCAGGTCAAACACGTAAATAAATGATGCTCCTTTAAACTTTTATTATTTCCATTGACTTTTGGTGGATCAGAGAACGAGACAGATTTAGAGATGCCATCATCAAAAGGCAGCAGTCTGTCTCACCTTTGTCTTTCACGGCCTCCTTTCACGTCTTTTGTCCCTTCATTGGATGATGTGTCCAAACACTCATTGACCACCAAACCGTGGAGCTGGTTGCCACAGTAACAAGTCTCTGCAGACAATGCTGCAACCTGGTACCTTCAACAACAAACAGTGAAAAGTAACACAATAGTGTTTAAAATACTGAGTGCCACAAGTGCCCAACTACACACACACACATACAAAAGCATGTGTTTACACCTCTTGTGATGTTTTAGAAGGAGCCTGGGTGGTCAGATAAACAAATATGATCAATGAAATGTGGTGCAACAATAATATTAATAAAAAAGCACATTTTAAAAAACACAAGTAAAGCAAAAGTCATCCTATCTTTCTGTTTGAGACAAAAGTACACATTTTATGTTAATGTTTTAGACTACAAATGAGATGACAAGACGACCATGCCATGTTTTTATTTCTTTTTGAAAATTAATTTAAATATTTCTCAATGGCGACTCATCACAGCTGCACATCTACGCCACGTGTGTTTGAAGAATTTATTCAAAGCACAGTTTTGCATATTATATAAAACGACTCAAACTAAACTATTGTTTTTAGTAGCGGTGTCACCTCTCATAAACCACGTTTTCCCAATATTTTTTTATTTTTAAAGAAAAAATTATAGGAAGTAATTTTATGCGTAATTTACGCAAAAAAAAAAAAAATCCAAACTACAGCTTTAACTGAAACCCCCTCTGCTCTTCTACTCCCCCCAAACTTACCCCTCATCCAGGCAGCGCACAGAGCAGGTTACCGGGTCAAGGTCACGGGCACCCTTGGGTGCATAAAATCTGAGGGAAGAGGAGTAGCTGGCGTTGACGCAGCCGATCAGCCACGGTGAACTCTGCTGACCTGGAGAGGAGGCCGCAGCGGACCAGCGGTGAAAAAGCAGTGCGATGCAGACGAAAGCAGCGAACATGTCCTCCTGCTCGGAGAGGTTTCCTTCCACCGAGAAAAAAAAAAAAAGGCCGCAGCTTCAGCAAAGGCACTTTAGGAAGACACGAGCGATTGAGACGGAGGAGAGACAAGGAGTGGAACATAAAAGCAGTGACACCAGACGCTCTGTGCGTACAAGGTGTTTGGGAACAAAGAGGGGAACTGTATGCAAATGATGGAGCCAGAAGCTGCGTGAAGGAGGAGGAAGGTGCTTGTCGGGGGTCAAACTAAAAAGATGAAGGGCCTGTGAATATAAAATAGTGCAATATTAAAAAAGTAACGCTGCGTGTGTGACCTTCATGGTGGTGAAAATGAACAGAAACTTTAGTTTCAGGGACTTATTTTCGTGCTGTGTCACTTTATTCCTGCATTTAATGTGACGCTGGTGAGAGTGATCGTCTGTCCTAATATTTTCTGTATGAAGTCATGATGTTTGAGGATTTAAATAAACGTGCAGCCGCTCTATAAATAGCCCATAAAACCGCCTCTTCAAAATGAGTATCAGATTCTAATGCAGTGACTCGTGTCTGTTGCTCTCCGTCTCATGAACAACCTGATTACAAAGGTCAGCACCGGAGTTGGGTCTTCTTTGAGGTTTCCATTTAAAATAAACCAAAGGCCCTTCCTTCGTCCTGAACTGGTCCTTTTGTCACAGACACTGCAAAAAAAAAAAAAAAAGTGGCCTAATGAGGCAGAAAATCGTTCAACAAAACACAGAAAATCTGCACAGAGAAGAAGAGGAGGCGTTATTTTGTGAACACTTTAAATCCAAAGAACAAAATTACTGTTTCTCACTAAGTTAAACCGAACTGGCCTCAGGTGACCCGGATACGCATCAGGTAGGTTTATGAACTATACCACAAGTAGGAGATGAATTATTTATTTCTACGCTGCTTTGTAAGCTGCTTCAAGCCACGAAGCAACTCGCATTATTGATCTGGATCTGTTGTTACCCAGCAGCTCATTTGAAGCCCGGTTGGCGCACAGAAGAGACACGTTCCTTCTCTGTCATCAAAAACAAAAATGTGGAGTCTTCAGAAGAATCCAGACGTGATCACGTGTATGTTTTATTGTGTCCGTTGGAATCTGGTGCCAAATTATATTCTGAACAAGCAGCTTTGGAGCCTCTGCCTGACGTGTACTCGCCATTATATCAACAATGTTTAACATGAAATAAGATTTAAGGATAGAAAAATGATTCATCTTATTGGGGATTTTATTTTATTTTGAGACTGAAATCGTTTTTCTAAAGAAGAAAACGGGAACGGGGAGTTTCATCCCACAGGTGAGTTTGAACTGTGTGGAGTTTTGTGTTAGGTCGTCCTCTCTGCTCGGGTCAAGGCCGACGATCATTTGCGCAATTCAAAGAAAATCTTCAAAAGAGTCATTTTAAACTGGAAACGGAATTAAAAATCTCGCCAGCAGTGTTCTATTTTTCTCTTGGTTTAGGAAGGTTAAGCATGTCAGCTTCAGCAGGACACTAAAATTCCCCTCAGTGCGTTTATTTTCGCAGGGTTGTGAGGCTGACAGGGGCAAAAACGCACCGGGACCGGTGCGAGTCTTCCATCCGAGTCCAACTTGCCCTGTGAGCCCTTTGCACAAAACACGTCCATGACGTGCAGCTAACTCCACCGGTCCACCTTAAAAACATCTTCCGGCTTTCCAGACATCCCCTTTAAGAGAGGTTTCCACGCCTGCTTGTGAGCAGCAGGTGGCGCTGTCAGACCGCGCCATATCTCCAAGCTGACTGTAGCAGAGAGAGGCACAGCGGGGGAATCAAACACATTTTCCCTGTTCATTTTTTATACAGAATACGCGCATATTTTGCCAATTTCGTTTCGTCTCTCCTCTCAGGGATTCTCAAACGCTTCCACGCCACAGAAACACCAAGTAGGGGCACATGTGAGCTCAGAAACTCAAAGCAATCCTATTTGATTCTCAAAAAAAATCTAAATGGTGAGCTTTTTACTGTCGATTTAAAAGTGAATCACCTGTAAACGTCAGTAACAGTTGTGGAGGTGGTACTTATATGTGAAGCCTGCATGTAAAATACGGATCATTCCATGTGAGTTATTTTATATTGAAAACACATTACACACAGCACACGCGGAGGAACCCCTTGGAGCCCCTCCGTGGACCCCTGGAGCTCCCCGGATCACACTTTGAGACGCATTTTGTAATCAAACCCTAAACATCAGCCCGAGGCGCGGTTGTCGCGACGGTGCGTAAAAGCCACTTTAGGCCCACGAAGCCACGAACAAACTCCGCCATTCGTTAAGCGCGTGCTGTGTTTTCGGCGCGTGCACGCGAGGACACAATTAACAAATGATCAAGTCAACGAAATCTTTACAAAGAAGCTGCCAGATCAGCGGTATGGCGCTGCGTAACGGAGAGTCCTAATAAACAGGGGAAGCGTTATGTAAGCGCCTGCAGACTGTGCGCCCCTGCCGAGGACACGGAGTCCGCTGGAGAAAATAGCCCGGTTCACTCCGGGAGACTGGGAAGTCGTTTGAGGTGGAGCGGTATTGAAAATAAATATTGTCTCAGGGATTTTTGACACAGTGATGTAAACCCTTGGAGCAAAAACAACCCATAAATTCCGCTCCCTCACCTTTTTTTATTTGCATAATTTATCGTGTTTATCATGAAACCAAATGAAACCACAGAATAAACCAAACTACTTCTGGAGGTGTCAGAGAAATGTATTTTTCTTTTGAGGAGAATATATAAAAAATGAATTTATGCTGTATGATGGACAAGTGGAGGTCAGAGTTGAGCCTCTTCTTTTAGTCACCTCACTTCATTTAAGTAAAAAGCTATTAAGATTTATTTATTTTTTAATTTTTTTTCGTCCAAATGTAGCCTAAACCTGACAGTGTGCGCTTGGCTGTCTCGACTACGACGTTTTTCTCTTTTCTAAGCAAATTATTTTAGATTTTTGGAGCAATTTTAACCCTTAGCAGCTCTACCTTTGGTTCAACTTTCTTCAAATCGAGTCACATATTTCAGAACATTAATCATCCGGATATAAAGGCCTGATGTCACAAGACTCCATCTACCTCAACAAAGTTAACAAATGAGCCGCTATGTTGCAGTTACAATATGTTTTTTCTTTACTAGATTGTCGTTTTTAAAAAGCTGGCCTTGTGCAGGCACTGCTTTGATAAACGTTTTCTAAAATATTTTCTGAGTCAGAAATAAACGCAGGACGCACTGAAACCTGCAAAACAGCAGATACCCAAGGCCAACTTTATGAAAAAATATATTCTCTGTAAAGCTGTGTACAGATGTGTGACCTCTTATTGTTATTTGTGTTTATTAGAACCGCTTAAAGGCACTTTGAGTGAAACTTTCTAAATATGAGCCACGATTTATGCTACAAGTAGAAATCCATTTTGTTTAATTACCAGCGCTGGCATATTTAAAGAAAACTGTACCAAAAATTAAAAATTAAAAATGAAAGAAAGAAATGGATGAAAACGCAGCGTCTTGATGCCAAAACATAAATGAAACTAGATAGACACACACTGGCTGGGAATTTCCGCAAGAGGAGACTCAATTCTTGATAAAAAATAGAATTTTAAATGCTGCAAATATATGATGTGGCTACATTTTGGTTTGTTTGAAGGAAGAATTGTGGGAAATGATTGTGCTTCAGCCTGTATTTGTGTCACAGAAATCTCATTCCAAGCTCTTACAGGTAATTCTATTATATTGTGTTCTATTCTGG